CGCAATCCTCTTACCTTGGCCTCCCAAAGTGCTGGGATTATAGGCGTGAGCCACTGCGCCCAGCCTAGATATTTAATTTTTTAAAAAGTTTTTATTTTGCAAGAAAGAAAGACACAAAACCCCAAACCAACACCAACTATTGTTAATTTCTTTCTTTCTTTTTAAAAAATTAAATACACAGGTCAATGAAATCACCAAATCCAGGAACAACAGACATTTTAGATCTTGTACAGCCTGTTAATTCCATGAGTTATCGCTATGTAAACAACCTGCCCTGAGATAATTAGTGGCCTCAGGGGCACTGGGAATTGTGCCATGGGAGGGCGAGGCTGGAAGCCTAGGCTTGGCCCCAGTGGGCTTTCTCCATAAAGGGCTCAGAGCTTCACCCCACATCAGGAGCCTCTGCAGAGCGAGCTGCACCCCGCTGGCAACTCTGAACTCTGCACCCGTGGCAGGATGGAGGGAGCGCTCTGCGCGGGAGGGAAGTCTGTGAGTGGGGGGATCTCTGGTTTCAGCCTAGGTCTGCCTTTGGTCCCAGAGATGTGTGAAGCTTAAGCAAAAGGCAAGGGGCTTTAGAGTCTGTAGGACTGATAGGACAGGGGTTGGGGTAGGGATGTAGAGAAAAAAGATGGTGGAGTTTGGTGACCTTCATCTTGTGTTTCTTCAGGTTCCAATGATCCAGTTCTCCTTCCTGCTGTTACTCATTGAGGCCACCAGAGGCTGCAGCGCGGGTGAGTCACCTCCAAGGGGCAACAGTCCCTCTTCCAGAACAGAGCTGAGCAGGGTGGCTCCCAGGATCCTGGTCTCTCCGGGGCCACAGGGTGTGTTTTTGAGATGCCCAGAGGCTGACTTGGATGTAGGCTGAGTGTCGCTTTCTGACTTCTTGTGGGATCTGGCCTGCAGCAGTGAGGCACGTCCTAGGCCAGGCTGTGTACCTGTGTGGTCCTGAGGGGGTTCTGGTGAGAACCGTGTCCCCTCCCAGCTGCTCTTTGCTCTTCACTCCTGTGGCCTTGGCCATGGGATTCCGATGGGAATTGCATAGTCTGCTGTGTGCCCAGAGAATGTTCTTTTCACAGTCTTCATCTCTATAATAATAATGATAATGGGGTTTAATATCTATATTTCTTTTCATTGTTATTATTATTATTTTAATTTATTGTAGAGATGAGGTCTTGCCAAGTTGCCCAGGCTGGTCTCGAACCCATGGGTTCAGGCAATTCTCTCACCTCGGCTTCCCAAAGTGCTGGGACTATAGTCATGAGCCACCAAACCTGGCCTTCCTCAAGACTTTTAAAATAGTTTGCTGACTCTTTACAACTGGGATTAGTATATAGGGTTCTTCATTCTGTGCCTCTGCTAGTCTCTCGGTCACTATCTCACCACTCCCTACCTCGCCCTATGTTTCAGCCACATTAAGCTACTTACATTTCTTTAACAGACTGGAGTATATATTTTTTTCTCCAGGCTTTTAAATGTGCTGTTCTTCCTGCCTTGAATTCTCTTCTTTTTTTTTCTACTGATAAATCATGTTTACCTCTTAGAATAAGCTAAGGTGTCACCTGAGGTAGGAGGCCTTCTGTGACCAAGACATGAGACAACTCCCCCAAGCCGCCTCCTACTCCAGACAACTCCCTGCCTCCAGTCTGGCCTCTCTACTCTCCATTCGCACCTTCGGGTCTTTCTTTTATTCTCTTGGGCTTGTCTTCTTCTTCTTCTTTTTTTTGAGTTGGGGTCTCACTCTGTCATCCAGGCTGGAGTGCAGAGGCATGCTCATGGCCACCACAGCTTCAACCTACTGGGATCAGGTAATCCTTCTGCCTCAACCTTCCAAGAAGCTGGAACCACAGCTGTGCAACACCACACCCGGCTAATTTTTTGATTTATTGTAGAGATGAGGTCTCACCAAATTGCCCGTGCTGGTTTCAAACCCCTGGGTTCAGGCAATCAATCCTCTTGCCTCTGCCTCCCAAATTGCTGGGATTACAGGTGTGAGACATTGCGCTCAGCTTGTCTTTCTTTGATCATTGATTCTTCTCTATATAATTGTCTGCTGACTTGTCCACAAAACCCACGAGAGACCATGAAAGGGGAAGGCTAATTTCTTCAACTGCCCAGTACTTAAGACAGGGTCCAGCAAAAGGACGAGGTCAAATGAAGGACAGCATACACGAGCCTGCATTGGATGTTGGGTCAGATGGGCTGAATGGATGTGGTACTGAATGTCAGGGTCTGCCAGCAGGCGGTGAGGCTCTTCTACAGTGCTAGGATGAGCTTGGGACTAGTGACAAGGAAAGGCTGAGTTCTGTGTCAAACCAGCAACCAGAATAAAACTTTGCATCTTCTCTAGAGGCGGCCAGTACCTCCTCCAAGGAATGGACTTGCTCCTCTCCGTCCCCATCTCTGCCCAGAAGCTGCAAGGAAATCAAAGAGAAGTGCCACAGTGCACGTGGTGAGTGATACAGCATCCGTACAGAGCCCCGTTGGGGCATCAGGTCTTTGTCTTCTGGGAGCTTTTAATTTTTAAAAATTTATTATTTTCTATTCTTATATATTTTGAGTCAGAGTCTCACTCTGTCGCCTAGGCTGGAGTGCAGTGACACGCTCACGGCCACCACAACCTTGACCTGCTGGGCTCAGGTGATCCTTTCGCCTCAGCCTTCCAGGTAGCTGGAGGAACAGGCATGTGGCACCATGCCTGGCTAATTTTTTTTTTTTTTTTTTGCTTTATGGTAGGACAGGTCTCACCAAGTTGCCCAGGCTGGTCTTGAACCCCTGAGCTCAGGCAATCCTTTTGTCTACGTCCCCTAAAGTGCTGGGATTACAGGCTTGAGCCACCATGCCTGGCCCACCATTTTTTAAAATTTAAAAAGGAATTGTGGTAAACTATATATATTACATATTGAATACACTTTGCCATTTTAATCCATTTAAATTGTACAATTCAGTGACATTAATTATATTCACAATGTTGTACAACCATCACTATCTACACCCAGAACGTTTTCATCGCACCAGCAGAAGCTCTGTGAAGCAACCACTCTGTGTTCTCTCTCCCCAGTCCCTGGTAACCGCTGTTCTACTTCCTGTCTTGATGAATTTGCCTATTCTAGTTTCATGTAAATGAATTATACGGTATTTGTCCTTTTGTGTTTGGCTTATTTCTTTCTTTCTTTCTTTTTTTTTGAGTTGTAGTCTCACTCTGTCACTCAGGCTGGAGTGCAGTGGCTGCTCCCGGCCACTGTAGCCTCGACCTGCTGGGCTCTGGTGATCCTTCCGCCTCAGTCTTCCAAGTAGCTGGAAATACAAGCGCATGCTACCATGCCTGGCTAGTGTGTCTGGCTTATTTCATGAAGTTTTCAAGGTCTGTCCATGTTGTAGCATGAATATTTCATTCCTTTTTATCCATTGTGTACACACACATACACACACACGCATTTTGTTTACCCCTTCATCTATTGATGAATATTCGAGTTGGTTCTATTTTCTGGCTCTTGCGACTGATGCTGCAACGAACATTGACACAAATGCACTGTTGGAGGCTCTGTTTTCCATTATTTGGGGCTTGCTGGGTCCTGTGATAACTGTTTAACTTCATGAAGAACGTACTGGGAGTTTTGATCATTTTGTGTTCTGCCTCAGTCACAGGAACATGGTCTTCTGCACTCAGGGAGATTCAAGTACCCCTAGGAACACTTGATGATGGGATTTAGAGGAGACTTCAGGCCATTTTTCTGGTTCCTAGATCTCTCTGGGTCCTGGGGCTGAGATGGATCAGAGCACTCAGACAGGAAGGCTCTGGGCTGATTCTCTCTACAGACGGCCTGTATTTCCTCCGCACCGAGAATGGTGTCATCTACCAGACCTTCTGTGACATGACCTCAGGGGGCGGCGGCTGGACCCTGGTGGCCAGCGTGCATGAGAACAACATGCATGGGAAGTGTACACTGGGCGACCGCTGGTCCAGCCAGCAGGGAAACAGAGCAGACTACCCGGAGGGGGACGGCAACTGGGCCAACTACAACACCTTCGGGTCTGCAGAGGCAGCCACAAGTGATGACTACAAGGTGGTGATACTTCCCAGCCACTTGGGAGATGGCGGGGGATGGAGTGTGGTGGCCACACACGTCCAGGAGGGAGTGGGGTGTGGAGATAGGGATGAAAAAGAAGAAAGACAGGCGTGTGTGTCTTGCATCACAGCTTTATCCCCGCAAGGCTGGGAGGACCTTGGGCGGTCGGGGGAGGTCGCCCACTGGAAGTGGGGGTGTCTGAGCATGGCTGACCCCTGCCCACCTAGAGCCCAGAGCTCAGCTCAGCGGAGGCTGCATCTGCAGGCCTTTGGCATTCTGGGACCTCATGGTGTGGTCAGGCTCAGTGTCTGCTGCTTTTCAGAACCCGGGCTACTACGACATCCAGGCTGAGGACCTGGGCATCTGGCACGTGCCCAACAGGACCCCCCTGCAGCAGTGGAGAAACAGCTCTCTGCTGAGGTACCACACCAACACCGGCTTCTTCCAGAGACTGGGACACAATCTGCTTGGCCTCTACCAGGTACACAGGCTGCTAGCTGGGGCTGGGGTTCATGAGTGGACAGAGAGGCAAGTGTTCAGGGTTGGACAGCGACGTTTATGTTCTCCTAACCTTGAATTGCTGTTGGCGTCTGCCCTGCTTTTCTCAGGAATTCTGAGCCAGGTAAGAGGACGACCTATGGCAAAGAGAAGAGTCAGGGACAGGAATAGTGGAGAGAGAGGAAGAGAGCGGGAGAGAGAGACAGAAAGAGAGAGCAAGAGCTAGAGACAGAGAGATAGGGACAGACAGCGTGAGTGAGAAAGAAACAGAGATAGAGACAGAGAAAGCGAGAGAGACATTCAGAGACAGAGACAGAGTGAGATAGAGTGAGAGAGAGCTAGAGAGACAGAGAATGCAAAAGAGAGCAAGAGAGAGAGAACAAAGAGAGTCAGACTGAGACAAAGACAGAGAGGGAGAGAAACAGAGAGATAGAGACAGAGTGAGAGAGACAAAGACAGCTAGAGAGAGCGAGAGACAGAAATAGAGACAGATAGAGACCAAAGAGATAGAGAGAAAAAGTGAGAGAGACAGAGACACAGAGACAGAGAGATCATGAGAGAGAGCAAGAGAGACAGAGACAGAGAAAGCAAGAACGAGAGAGATGGAGACAGGGAGACAGAGCGAAAAAGTGAGAGAAAGAGACTGAGAGAGAAGTGGCCGGGCTATGGGGGAAGCACAGCTCCGTAGTGACTGGCAGTGGTCAAAGATTCTTATTTTAGCTGGTTTTGAAATAATCTTGGGCAATCCCCGTGGGTCCCCTCCCACTTTGGGAGCTTTTCTATCCTCTCAATAAATCCTGCTTAAAGAAAAAAGAATCTCAGTTACTGAGAAAGCATTGTTTCTGCCCCGGGGAATGGCAGCCTCCCTGGGAGATGCTTGTAAGGGTAGAGCTGTAGTCCTTTACTTGGTGACTTTTTTTGTTCCTTGTAGAAATATCCAGTGAAATACGGAGAAGGAAAGTGTTGGACTGACAACGGCCCAGCCATCCCTGTGGTCTATGATTTTGGTGACGCCCAGAAAACGGCATCTTATTACTCACCCTTTGGCCAGAGTGAGCGTCTGATGATCTCTGAATTCTTAGTGAGAAAGGGGGAGATGTTCAGTTATGCCAGGTCACAGTCACTAACCACGGTCTGGTTCTCTTCTGTGACCGTTATTTGTATTGCCTCACTTGATTTATGCCTTTGAGGTCTGAACTGTTATTCCCCATTTTAGGAGACTGATACACTGAGTGGTTCAGAACGTGTGGGGATCACGGCACATGTG